TCTGTAGCACACGCAAAAGATAAGTAGCATTTAAAGAGCATGTAGGCTAAGCTCTTGTATGTTCAGTACGTATGATAAAATACCTATGGAATATCTTCTGAGTAGTCAGTCAGGTGGGAAAAGTTGGTCTCTGCTGGAACAGGTCCTCAGTGATGCTGAATTGCCATTCTCTGACTCCTTGTTTATTCTTCTTACAATTTACTCTTTCAAATTGGTGTTTTTCTTCTTAAAAAACTTTTCGACGGCTGTCTCAAAATGTGCAACTTCTACCCATAATTATTGTGAATCTTGGTATGAGAAGTAAAACAAAATTGAGGACACCATCTTGCTCATTTCAAAATGTTTATACATCTGTCTTTTCTGCTTTGGAGTCTTGCTAAACTGATGCCTTTTTTAACAGGTGAAAATTGGATAATAGTCAGTTTAATGTGTTTTTGAATCTTAGCTTAACTCAAAGGGTTTCTTAGACTAAAATGCTGATCAAATACACACTGCCACTTGAAGTTGTGACCTCATGCATGAATTAGGGAAAACACCATGTAGACCACAGCACAAAAACACATTACCACAAAGATCCTGATAAGGACTTTTAGAATGGAGGGACAGACACAAACATTCTGCAAGTGGGCATCCACATCAGAGGAACGCTGGGGCAGGTAGGTACTTGCTAACAGGGATTCCCAAAGTGCCCAGTCTCTAGAAGGGAACAGAGCTCAACTGACATAGCGTTTGCTGTAGTTTCTGCAGTACTCTAAGGTCAGACCAGTGACACAGGCAGTCTAAAGCCTGTGAGCTTCTAGTGGAGCAATGATGTTACTGTTTGTAAAATGCGTTATGTTTATGCCAAGGCAGTCAACTTTTCCAGATATATAAAGAAACAACTGGGAAAAAGATTTTAACTTTTTTCTGTATTTAACAAAGCAACCCGCTCTGAAAATCCCAGAGTGAAACAATAAACATTTAAGCTACTTACTCAAGAAATGAGTTTTTGAACAGGTAGGAAGTATAGTACAGAGATAGATTCTCAGTTATCACTGATTATGCAGAATTACGTTGTTTAGGGTCAGTAGAGCAAGATTAGCCTTCAAATTCCAATAAATCAGTCAAAGAATACTGCCTGTGAGGGAATATTCTTTCTTTTCTAAAGCAGACAAATTTAAGAATGTCTTATAACAGTTTCCATGTAGCTGAGACTGGAACTTGTCCTATCATTTTTACAGACTTTGTAAGTTGTGGTTCTTTTAACTTTTTATAATCAGGCTATTCAGGTTTTTCTAGGCATCAGATGCCAGCATAACAGTATTGCCCTGACGTTAACTGCAGAATTAAAAAAGCCAATAATCTCGTGTGATTTCTCTAATTGCAGTTGTTGCTGGTGCCTGACCTGTGATAGTGCCTTAACAAGTGCCTTTTATTCCTCTGGTAAATTTTTAATCTGTAAATCTGAATAACAGGCTGAAAAATGTTATGTAGATTCTACTCTGTCAGCTCATGTTAATGCAAATGGATGCCTTCCAGAAAAAATTTCACAGACCAGCAGATTGAGTTCTAAAGAATAAACCTGCACAATTATTCAAGACCTTTCTCAGGCTGATGGCACAGTCCCTGCCAGCCTCATAAGATAGTATTCACAATGTTGGTACATTTCCCTTTGGGGCATCAGGTCTGTTATCCAGTGAGAATATTAAGGACTGTATGAGTTTTTCAGTCATGCCACTGCTTAGAAAGGAACGGATGCCATAAGAAACTTGAAACAAGCATAGAATACATAAAACTCCAAGGAAGACCTAATACTCCTACATGGTTGGAGACCTGTGGAATGCATGTTTTCATAAAGCAGATAACCTTTCACAGTTAAAAATCTAGAGAGAGCAAGCATTGGGAAAAAAGTTGATTCCCTGTTCTATACCACTGTTGAATGAGCAAGATTAAGTGGCTCAAAAGGAGATACTGAGGTTTCCAGGATTAAAATAAGTGCACGCTCCCCAGAGCAGAGTAGAAAAATACAGTATTTAGTCTGACACTTTTGTGTCAACCTGGAGTAAACCTAAGTAGCAATCATTGTCCACAAAAATCTCTCTGCCTCTGCAGCCACTTAACATTAAGAATACTTTTTGCTACAGAGTAGAAGTACAGAGCTGCAGGGAGTTTGGTTTATTATTGGAGAAGGAATAACTCTTCTGCTGTTCACTCTTTCTGCTTTGCGTTATCAAAAATAATAATTAAGAAAACAAAAAACAAGATAAAAACCGATTTTTTTTTGAGTTCTACTGTCTAAAGCATAGCAGGGATGAGAATTGCCATTAAGGACCCAAGTACACAGAGTAGTACAAGAATTAGAAAACCAGCACAGGACAATATCCTGCTTGGAAAGAGATTTTTTTGGGGCTCAGTGCTGCGCATTTGGGCAGACAGTAAGAAGGGCCTGGGTAGTCTCATACATGAGCTGAACAGGTGATGCAAAGTTCTTATGCCTCATCAGGCTCTTACAATGAGTTTAAGAACCACCTTGAAGAATTACCCAATTCTTGGTAGTGATGTGAGTTCTTTTATGAAAAATCTGAAAAATAACAGTTCAGGGAAGAGAACAAAGTTATGGGCCAAGCACTGTCATACGTCTCCAGTATCACATTATTTTCCAGTAACTAGGCTAAAAAGAAGGAAAAGTGAAAGGTCAGATTGTCCTTTAATGTCTGAGGTGAAAGAAGGCTGTTTGGGAAAACTGATACCACAGGGTTGCCTAGGTGTGTAAAGAAGTTATCAAAGTAAATAATAACTCTGTTCCTTAAAGCTTTGAGAAAGCCTATTTCTAAAAAGTTGAGGCGAATTTATATTCCTTTTCTTTTGCAATTTGCAAAAAACTTTTTTTTTTCCCCCCCACAGTAGAAGATTAACAGGAAATTGAGCTGCTGATAGAGAATCATGAACCTACCTAGTTTCTCTAGGAGATACAAATCTATTGTTTTTCATGATGATTTTCTGCCCATAAAGACTCCATGATTCAAAGAAACATGTTTAAGTAATTTTATTGAGTTTAAAAATACATAGCCTTGAGACATATTAAGCAAGCTATACAAAAGATACATTAGTAATAGATGAGAGAACTGTACCCCTACCAATATCCCCCAGAATTACAAACTACTCATACTGCTGAAATATGCAAGTAGCAGTGGTACATTTTGATTAAGACTTTACATTCTGGTTGAAAAAATCCAACCAAACTAAAAAAAAACAAACAAACAAACAAACAAAAAAAAAACACCAAAAACCAATCCAAGCAGTAATTATATTCTATATAAAAGCCACAATCCAGAATACAAAGGAAGGTCGTTCTGACCTTGATTGTTTAACCCATTACTACTGGGTTAGCATTAGTCCTTTGAAATTGTGTTTACTAAGTCAACTGACTACTCCACATGCAGTGAGGCTGCAGATACTAATAGACACGGGAACAGAAGTAGGGACAAACAAGTATCAGGAAGCCAAGGAAGACTGTAGTCTCTAAATAAGCAATTATTTTAAAGGAACGTGATTGTTTTGGATTTCCCATAGCTTTGCTTAATTAGGAGAGCATTGCTTTAGATAATAAATACATTAGAAAGATCACAAAAAAAAAAAAAAAAAGGCTCGTAAGAAGTAATTGAGATTGGAAAGGAATAAGGCTGTTGTAAGAAAAAAAGTAAGAGTTTGTAAAGGTGAGAGAGAACAAAAGAAGAAAGAAGAAATGCTACCTTCTTGTCAGCAAGCTCTTATAGTTGTGAAAGTAAGTTTTCAGTGTAGAACAAAGGAGCAAAAAGAAATTTAAATACCACCATTGTTATAGTATCTGAAAACAAAACAAAACTCAGAACAGAGCCAGAAAATTCACGTACTTCATCAAGGATTCTGTATAACAGAATTTTTATGTATGCTCTGTAAAAACAGCCAAAAATTAAACACAATTTAGTTTTATTTGCAGTTTGTGTTCAGAGAATTTAAGCTTAAATTCTAATTTGTACCCAAAGGATCTGTGTTGCATTCAAATACTTTAATCAGCAAATTGAGGAGCTATTTTAATTAGCTATCAACCACTAAACATTTTTGAAGACAGTGGACTTCCTCTGTTGTGTACTTGAATGTGACATTTATCACTGACCAGTATTCAAAATTAAATTACCCAGGGCTATTTTTTAAGGAATTCAAAAGGTATATAACAGAGCAGACAAGCAGATACTGCCTCTGCTTACAATGTGGCATTGAACAAGAAAGACAAATACGTGTTCAAGAGATGGGGATTCATTTTCTTTAATGTATTTGGACTGGAACTCCCCATATGCCAATTTTATCTTCCTAAGGAAGAAAAATCCAGTACGGTCTGCTTTACTGATCTAGTAGAACACAGATGTTTTAGACCATTTCAATGCACACAAGACTAGTTATACCTTCAACTAATTAGCTGTATTGTCAGAAATCACATTGTCATACTTAAAGCTCATTTAATAAACGTACTTAAGAAGTACAGGAAGTTTTCATCTGGTACTGTAAGCATTTAGACGCAGAACTTTGCTTTCAAACTATCTTTCATTTTCTAAATTCACAGGATTACTGCATAACTACTACTGATCTTTCTAAAGAGACTTTGCTAAAGTAAAAATAACAAAAATCTTACACACCAGGGGGGTCTCTGGGCAGTTTCATAGATAACAGGCAGGAGACTGGAAGACATTTACGTTTGTTCTTGCTGATAAACCGAAGGCCTATGGAAGGACACACACTGTCATGACTCGTGTTAAGTACATATAAATATTAAAGAATGCACAAACTGTATTGACAGTTGTGACATCTCTAAGTCCACTGTTAACTAAAGGCTGGCAATACTCATCTTTCTGAATGTTCCTGGAGAGCACAGGTGCCTATTTACAAAAAAAAAAAAAAAAAAAAAAAAAAAAAAGAGAAATTCAGTTGTTCCACAATTGCCTTGTCACAGACGATGTAATTCTGTAGAAATACTTTGGCAGTAGGAAGAGTAAGCAAAGCTTTGTTTTTTCAGTTACAAATATTTTAATCCTTCACTATATTTGTATCAGTAAAGCAAAGGAAGTTCAATATCATATCATTAAAACCAAGTTAGCTGCTAAAAGCAGGAATTAACCATCCTTTTAGGAGATACCACACTGGAGCTTCTTAAGCACAGAATTTTCATCTTCAGCTTTTTGATAATTATATACTTTCAGCCTTCTTTTTATAACTGTCTAGAATTCCAGTCAAGGTTGAGAGTAGATCTTCAGACATGAATTCTTCATAATCTCTGTCAATTTTTGAATTCTGTTCATCAAGATATTTCTAGAAGAGTTACAAAAGCCTTATTAGAGCTGTGGTCCATATTGTACTGTTTCTGCTAAAGCATTCATAGCAGCAATTGTATGGGTTATATCATTTCTATTAAACACTTACCTGAATGTAAACAGTAGATGAAGGAATTTACTAGTAACGTTTAATCATGTGATTATTTACACCAAATGTTTTGTCAGCAAACATGCTAGAAACCAACAAAGTCAGTACAGCAGGCATAATCATGGAACACCTGAGTTTGGAAAGAACCTTTAAGATCACAATCACTGCCTTGAGCAGGGTTGCTACCCACTGGATTGGGCTGCCCAGGGCACCATCCAGTCTGCCCTTGAATGCTTCCAGGGATGGGTGTGATGGTGCAGTCTCTGCCTCCCACCCAGCCTGGTTGTTACGCCCAAGGCCATACCATGAGGTGCAGAAGACCTTGTCCTTGGGACTAATAACAATCAAGGTTTTACCAGAGACAGTTAACCACCACCATGCTGTCTCAAACTGAGCGCTCAGACACCTGGTCAATAGAACCAGTTCTAAGTTGCATGACTATAATTCAGTCATCTTACCCCATAAACACAAAGCAGCCTGATAATCTTTGTAGCCCTCCTCTAGACCTGCTCCAACAGCTCCACATCTTTATTGTGCTGGGGCCCCAGGCCTGGATGAAGTACTTGCTCACAAAGTGAGTGAAGGAGGACAGTAGCCCCCATCGCCCTGCTGGTTAGCTTTTTTTAAATTAAACACAGCCCAGGATACAGTCGGCCTTCCAGGCTGCAAGAGCACACTGCTGACTCATGTCCAGCTTTTTGTTCACCAGGGCCCCCGAAGCCTTTCTCCACAGGGCTGCTCACAAGGAGTTCTTCTCCCAGGTCTGTACACACATCTGGTATGGCACTGACTCAAGTGCAGTATCTTTCACTTGGCCTTGATGAATCTTATTAGTTTCCCACAGTTCTATACCCCAAGCCTGTCCAGATGCCTCTGGATCACATCCTTTTCTTCTATTGTATTAGTTGCACCACTGAGCTTAGTGTGATCAACAAGCTTGCTGGGGTCTACTCTATAATCAGTATCACTGTGTCATTAATAAAGACATTCAATAGCATTGGTCCCAAGACTGACCCCTGTGGCACACCACCCATGACCAGCCCTACTACTTGAACATAGATCTGTTTACCACGTTTAACTAACAGATACTTTACTGGACAGGAAAAGTTCTTACGTCCATGTCCTTAACTGCAATTGTAAATATCTTTGGAAAGATGTAATTCTGGGTATTGAACTTCATCTTACCTCTATAGATACTACATGAGTAGTAATCACTTCCAAGAGACGATTCAAGTTATCACCTGCTTTCCTGCTCTCTTCTGTTGTTGTTTGCATAACAATTTGATATCTGAAAAATAAAGACATTCTGAAAGTCAAGCCCCTAATTCTAAACTTCCTAACATCTACAATAATTTCTTTATCAAGTTACATATATTGTTATCTTTAGCCATCATTTTTCCTATTAGTATTAATGTAAACCAAGCTAGATTTATTTAACATATTTTTTAATACATTTGACCTAGAAGAAAAAAGGACCATATTGTACTAACTTGCCTGGACCTTAGAACAGACACATCCAACCTGCAGCCCACACGTGGCCTGGCAGATCTCATAATGCAGCCACCTCTGCCCCGTGTCATCATGGTGGAGGTTCTGCCCTGCCAAGCAGCCTGGTCTGGCCCCAGGCATACTCCCATTGCTCAGCAGCAACCAAACATTGGTGCAGCACTGTCTGTGCTGAAACCAGGACACAGGGAGGGTGCAGCGTAGTGCCATGCCAACTCAAGTTACAGCTATTTCATTGAGCACAACTTCTCTGCACAGTGTGTTCCAGTGCTCCATCATGTAGACAGCAAAGAAATGCTTCCTGGTGCGTTGGAGAAAAAGAAAAACATCACAACAACCTCCTCTGCTAGAGTTTGTGCCCACTGCCTCTTGTCCTGGCACTGGGCACCACTGAAAAAAGCCTGGCTCCATCATGTGGACATAAAAACAAAATTTACATGAAAGAACAGAAGTGCTGATATAGTAGACAAACAGTCTTGCTAAACTAAGTATATCCAACGATC